TCATCAAAGCCTTGGGCAAGCCACCATCTCTCTGGGCCTCAGTTTCCCTGTGGAAAAGCCAGGGCAGTGACGCCTTCTCCTGGAAGCGACCTCTGCAGGTCAGGGTGAGACGTCGGGTGATGGCACGCTTTGAAAAGCGTGTGGTCCTGTGTGAAAACAGTTGGAGGTGGATCCTAGTTATAAAAATAATGGGGCCTGTGTTCAAAAGCATGGTGGTGATTTTTTTTTTTTTATTTTGAAGTTGGAGAACTTCCCAGGAATATCTGAAAAGGAAAAATCATTCCTCTTCGAGAATGGCCATTTTGAAAATGCGGTTTTTTTAGGGACTGTGTCATTACGAAATGTGAAATAGGACATATTCTGCCCGTGGAATGTATGCGAGAACAAACAAATCGTTACTTTAATTAGCACGGCATTTTAGTGCTCGCGAAGCACTTTCCGTGGCCCGTTGAATTGTTTCATGGTGAAGACTGCAGCCTCGGCATCTGAAAAACCTGTGCTAGGTTCTTAGTTCCAACAGGTGCTAGCTGTGTGAGTGGGCGAGGCGCTTCATCTCTCCAGGCCTCAGTTTCTTCATCTGTAAAACAGGATAATTCTATTCAAGGAGCAGTTCAGAGTAGTAAGTGTGGTGATGCGTGTGGCGTACCTCGAATAGCCTGGCACAGGGATGTGCTCGGTGAGTCCTAGGCGATATTGTTTGTTATTTATAACTCCATCCTCGTGATTCCGGGGATGAGGTCTGTGGTCTTATATCTCCTGTTCCTGAGATGAGAGACATGCGACTCAGAGACAGCCTTTGTCCCGCCTGGGGTGGCCTGGCTAGTGGGTGACAAGCAGCCCAGGCTCCAGCTTCGGCCCAGTCGGTGACCCCAGGGTTGTTGAATATTCAGGAGTTCAGTGCTGCTGCATATTCGAAGGCCTTTGTTCCTGGTTAATAACAGCTCTTTGTTGCTGTCCAGCGGGAGGAGCGGCCTCCAGCCAGGGCTCGGGCCCTCTAGCCTTCAGACCCCCCACGCCCCGCCCCCTGTATTTGCTTTCTGGAGCCCCCGTTACTAATGGAAGTGTGTCACATCGTCAGGGGGTGCTGGGCAGGGAAATGGGAGGTGGAGGGAGATGTGCAGGCTTGCCCTTGGCCAGTGGCGGGGCTCCAGGCGCGTGTCTGTGTGTCATCTGCAGTGGGACAGCTGTTCCGTTGTGTCCGAACATGCCCATCGGAGAGGCCGAGATTACAGATCTGCCCTGGCAGTCTGCAGCTCAGAGCAAGGCGTAGGCTGGGTCCTCCTCCCCAGCTCTAAGTGCATTCTTGGGGCCCGCTGTCTGCCGGGCACCAGGCTGGGCGTTTCTACCTATATGATCGCCTTTAATGCTCATAAGCTGCCCCTGTGGTGAGTCCCATCCTTAGCCTCGCAGCCTCCAGAATGATCCTTTAAAACGATCAGATCACGACGTGCTGCGGCCCACAGTGGCCTCCTGTCTGCGCCATCCGAGGGTCCTAGCACAGCCCACGAAGCCTGGCTTGGTCTGGCCCCAGCCACCTCTCTGCCCTTGGCTTTTCCGCTCTCGCTGTCCCACTTACCTATTGTTGCTTAACAAACGACTCCAAACGTGGTGGCTTAAGCCGTTTTATTGTGCCTGCTGATTCTGTGCATCAGGAAGTCAGCAGGGCACGGAGGAGACAGTTTGCTCTGCTGCGTGTCGTGTGTGCTGGGGCTGGAGTGTCCACATGGCTTCTTCGTGCCCACAGTGGTGCCCGGCGAGGCTGACCTGGAGGGCTGGGCACTGGCTGCGAGGGCTTGCTGGGGTCATAAGCTTGGTTCTTGCTGTCAGCCAGTTCCTTGGTCGTGGTCCCTAGAGGCTTGGGGCCTCTTCCTCTCCACGTGGTTGTCCCAGCAGCATAGCCGGACTTCTTACACAGCAGCCCAGGGCTTTCAAAAGCACAAAAGTGGAAGCTTCCAGGCCCTTGTAGCGCTTGGGTCTGAAACTGGCAGAGCATCACTTCTGTTGCAGCCTTTGATTAAAGATTAAAGCAAGTCACAGATCCACCCTGGATTCAAGAGAGGGGACCACAGAAGGACTGGTGTGGCTCATTGGGGGCCACCAACAAAAGAGCCTAACCAGGCTCCTGGTCATTCACTCTTCTCCAGCCACATAGGCCTCCGTGCTCTTCCTCAAATGTGCCAGGCACACCCCTGCCTCGGGGCCTTTGCACTTGCTATCTGCCTCTCTCAGGATGCACTTCCCAGTATCCACAGGGCTCACACCCTCCCTCTATTCAGCCTCAGCTTAAATGCTACCTTCATAGAGACCATATCTGACCCCACCTTGTCAAAAACAGTGCACCCTGACCATCGCCTCTGTCCCCTTATCCCACTCTGTTTTTTTATTGCACTCATCACCTCATGGCATAGGTTTTATTGCCTATTCATTGTCTGGTCTTTCCCTGCCCCCACCTCAGAAATAAATGCCATGGGAGTAGGGCGTTTGCCTTGTTCACTGCAGTATCACTAGCTCCAGATCTGATGCAGGTAGATGTATTTGTCGAATGAATATTTGAGATGAAGAAACTGAAGCTCAGAGAGGTTAAGTACCTTTCCCAAAGACACATAGCTGATAATTGACAGAGCCAGGATTCAAACCCAAGCAATTTAGCATCTAACATTAAGCCATAGAAGCTTTGCTGCCTCGAAGGGTAATTGCTTAGGTAATTATGGCTGCCTCCTACCTCCTCTCCCTGTGTCCTGTCTCCCCTCGGGGTGGTCTTCCCACAACTGAAGTCGGATCAGGAATAAAACCCGTCCTGAAGCTGGCATCCCTGATCTTCAACAGAAAGCCCTCACTTCTTAGACCGCTGCGCAAGGCCCAGCAAAACTTGGCCTCCAGCTGTGGCCTGCTGTAGTAGAGTGAATGTGGATTTTTGAGTCAGGCAGACCTAGTTCTGTTTCCAGTGCCCCACTCACAGGCTCTCTAAGCATGGGGGAATTAGAAATGTTATCCATCCATCCACCCATCCACCCACCCGTCCATCCGTCCATCCATCCACCCATCCATCCACCCACCCATCCACCCTCCATCCATCCACCCACCCATCCATCCATCCATCCATCAACCCATCCATCCATCCACCCACCCGTCCATCCGTCCATCCATCCACCCACCCATCC